CTGCTCTGCTGCCTGTTCTCGGGACTTGGCGCTGGGGCGTGCCCTCCTTGGGCTGCCTGAACGCCCCTCTGCTCGCCTCAGTGGCTTCTCCTCCCTGCTCTGAAACCTGGACGCTCTTCCAGCTGTCAGGAGGCATTCGTCAGACTCCCCTTGTTTCACCTCATTCAAAAACCCGCAGCCTGCTCTGACTGTCTAACGTCTATCGTCCAAAACTCATTATTTCTACATTTTCTACAGCGGTGTCACCGTTTAAAGCATGAGGATGAATCCAGACCGTGTCATTCCATGTTAGCTGAAAGTTTTCCTGCGAATATTTGAAACTCACCCTTATGAATAAAAGATGAGAAATCAGAATCGTAATAATTAGCTAAAGAACTTTTGTTGGGAAAAAAAAGCCTTTCCAGAGTTAACTGAACTTAGGCAACTTAATTTCCTGGATTTTTATTCAGAGCATCTAGTTTCCTTTTCTCCTTTATAATAAATTGTGTTTATGAAGGGCATATATATATATATATATATATATATATACACATATACGTTTTCTTGAGACAAGGCCTTACTGTGTAGTTCAGGTTGGTCTTGGACTCACTGTGTAGCCCAGGCTGGCCTTGAACTTGTGCTGATCCTCCTGCCTCAGCCTCCTGAGTGCTGAGATTGTTGGCGTGCACCACCATGCCTGGCTTTTTAGAGTGTATTTAAATGCTACACTGAACTATTTGTTCAAACTCTACCATAGTGAATTTATTTTGGGGGTGAATATGGACATTTTTTCCTTGTTGGACACATTTTTCTACTACAAATATTATTTTTAAAAGTTCTTTCTACATTGCTAAAGGGGTGGGCTTTAGGTATTCTCACTCCAAAGAAATAAGTACATCAGGAAATAAATGTTAATCGCATCATTTGATCACTTCACAATGTATACAATGGACTAAAACACCACACAGGACTCTCTAAATACACACAATTATGTTCGTCAACTAAAACTGTCAAATTTGTTCAGGTAGATTCTTCTGACAAAGGGTGCTCAATAACAAGGTTTACTAAATGTGGTCTAATGGCAGAGGGTCAAATGGCCCAATAACCCCGATGTTGCTGAGTAGTAACCATTTCCAACACCCACAGCACCTGCCGAGCTCATGCTTAGCTGATGACTCCCTAGAGTGCACTGAGGTGGTGTAAATCCCCAGCCAGGCAAACACCACAGATTAGACACACCTCCGTCTCGAGCTCCAGGGTGCACCACCTGCAGCTTTGGTCCAATCTGCCTGACTCTTTCTCTGTCCAATCTCAACAAATTGCACAAGACTAGAACCCGAGAAAGCTCTGGAGCACAATGAAGAAGGGTTAAGTTAAGCAGCCCCTTGTGATCCTATTCTCCAACCATTCATCTCACCCCATGGAAGCACTCATTCATCATGACTGAGCATCATGCCTCTGATATTCCACACAGAAGAGATAATAAAGAAGAAAAAGGACTCTGTTCTCACATAGTTTATATTCCAGCAAAGGGAGGCACGCTTGGGAAAAAACAGAAATAAACAAAAAATGTCACACAGTAACAGATTATACAGAGGAAATCAAGATGAAAAAGAAATCTAGAAAAGTATGGAAAAGGGGGTCAGGGAAGATCTGATTTAAATATACCAGGTTCAAAACCCCAGACTTCATGAGAAATACTTCAAAGAATCAACAACTGGGATCTCATCTTATTAAGAAGATTCTTCACATCAAAAGAAATCACCAATGGAGTGAAAGAAAACCCACAGAGTGGGAAAAAATTTTAGCCAATTGTCCCTCAGAAAAAGGACGTCTATCTAGAATATATAAAGAACTGAAAAAAATTAGATCCCCCAAAATTCAAAAACCCAATCCAAAAATGGGCATCTGAGATGAACGCACACTTCTCAGATGAAGAAAAACAAATGGCAAATATATGAAAAAATGGTCACAACAGTAGCCATCTGAGAAATGCAAATTAAAGCAACACTGAGGTTCCAACTCATTCCAGAAAGAATGGCTATCATCAAAAAAAATCAATCAATAACGAATGCTGAAGGGGCTGTTGGTGGGAGTGTAGGCTGGTGCAACCACTGGGGAACTCAATGTGGAGATTCCTCAAACAGAGGTCCCATTCGACCCAGCTCTTCCCCTGCTGGGTGTCTTCCCAGAAGAACTGAAAATATCATACCACAGTGATATATGTGCACCCATGTTTATAGCAGTAAAATTTGTAATAGCTAAATCTAAGAAACAACCCAAATGCCTATCAACCAAGGAACGGGTAAAAAAGATGTGGCCTTTCTATACAATGGAGTACTACTCAACCATAAAGAAGGATAACCATTACAGGTAAATGGATGCAACTTGAGACCACAAACCATACTCACGTGTGTAAGCGTTGTATTCGTTCCCTGGTGTAAGAAACTGAAAGAATTAATAAAGTCTAAAATGTACATTAGATACTGTGAAATGAGAAGGAAATATTCAAAAGGAAAAAGAACTAGGGTGGGAGTAAGGGGAAAGGAAGGAAGGGAAAAGGGAAAAATGCAAATTAGTTATATTCCGAGTATCTCAGTTCATCAAAAAGGAAGGTTTGTGCTAATATTGATTGGAGAAAATTTTATGCCCATATCTTATACTCTGAGTAACTTCTTTAAACAATGTGCAATGTAGTAACTACTGTTATTCTCCTATTATTTTGTTATGAAATTTTATGGTACTTTTTTTTCCCATAAAATAAAATTTAACAAAAATGCACCAGGTTCAGATGGTTTTATAGTGTTCAGTTTTTAGGACTGGTTTGACTTTTATATTTGACCTGCTGGACCTTGACTAGCTTCCCAGTGGCTTGCTTGGACTTTTATATTTGACCTGCTGGACCTTGGTTAGCTTCCTCTAACTTACCTGGAGCTCCAGCTCGGGAGAAACTCAGCCTCCAATGCACTCCTGGCCGCCCGCCCTCCTCAGCCGCCCCACAGCACAGGAGATTTGGACAGTAGAGACTAGGGAGTGACAGCACATGTCAAGGCTGGGGAGAAGAAGAGGAGCCCATCAAGGAGCTGGAGAAGGTAGGAGCTGGAGCAGCCGGGCGGGTAGGAGGAGAACCAGGAGCGAGGTCCTAGGGAAGTCCTGGGAGAGAAGTTTCAAGCAGAGGTGGAAGTGGGCACCCTCACATGGGGGAGCAAGATGGGAATGGGGGTGTTGGCTTCACAGGTGGGTAGGAGACAATCCTCTTCCTCTAGGGGACGGGTGGTGGCCCAGCAGCCAGGAGATGTGAAGGAGCTTGAAGACAGGGGTGAGGACGGCCCCTGTCAGGGAGTTTGGCGACACCTAGAGGCCCAAGGCAGATTTCCCCGAAGCTGTGGGAAGCTCAGAGCTCAGGCTCAGCTCCTCTGCACCACAGGGAGGGGAGCTTTGGGGGCTGCGGCAACAGCTGACTCTGCACGCAGGGCAGACACTGCATGAGGGGCGCCCTCCTTCTGGGACAGCAGTGGCGGAGGGCCGTGGCTCAGGTGAGGGCAGCGGGCAGAGCTCGATGACAGCCAGGAGTCTGACAAGAACGTGGGCCGAGCTGGGGGAGGCAGGGAGGCCGGCACGCAGGTGCGCGGCGGGAAATGTGGTCCCTGTGCCATGAGCCTGTGGCTGAAGCCGCCAGGAGGGTCTGTGGCGGCACTGTGCGTCTTGGCGAGAACCCCAGGGGCTGCCCGTTCCCTGCCTCCTGCCCACAGCCGGGTGTCCCATTCTGAGAGTGAGAGGAGTGAAGAGGCACCAGGTGTCAGAACTGTAAGATAGTATTTTTCTGTTGTTATAATCACTTAGTTTGGAGTAACTTGTTACTGGGGTCTCCGAGCCCATACACACACCTGCAGGTAATGTTATTTTAAAAGCCTTATGAAGACTATCATAAAACTTTACTGCCGCCGTGCGGCAGCAGCAGGTGCAGGAGATTCCTGCAGCGGGGAACGACGCGGGCGAAGAGACAAACAACACAGACACCAGAGGTCCTTCTGGTGGGCCGGGGGAGCAAGGCTCCTCTGACACGGAGAAATGCTTTTTTCTTTACTATATACTTCTGCAATTACATATGAAACTTGGCAGATTAAACAGTTTTGGCTTAGATACAGTGAGGTTTCTATTCTGGTTGAAGATTCGGACATGGTTGACCGACCATCTGACCGCAATCTTAGCAGGAAATCAACCTTTCTAAAGCACATAAAAAGAAGCAAAAGGATCAGTCACTAGAGGTTCTTGATTAGGTATGAGCGTTCACAGAATTGTTTACTTTGTCTACCAGACAACAGGACCCACATTTACAATATCTCCACCTAGAGTCGGCCCAGCGCACACAGGGCATTCGCCTGATGTTTTCCCACACACTGAGGGCTACGCAGCGCTCCCCTCCTGTTCCAGTGGGCGAACATTGCCCCACAGGACGTAGGGGACTGATGCAGATCTCTGTGGTGGCTTTTACTTCCCCTTTCACCCCTGAAAGGGTGCCTTCTCTCCTGGGCTCTGATTACCTAACTACTTTCAGTTCTGATCCTTCAGGTCCCCAACCATCCTTTATCAACGGCACAATGAATATGTGGAAAGCTACGATTAATAGAGCGCAGAGAGAGGCCTCACACCCATCCTATGCGGTCCCTGCTTTGCAGATACCCGCTGCCAGCCCTGACTTTGTCAAGAAACTGGCACTCGAGGGTCTCCGGCACTTTACTAAAGGACATTTTAAGGAATCCGAGTTAATAAATGCTTCGTGACTTAACCTATGAACAAGAGGAGACAAAAGGAGAGAGGGAGGAACAGAGAGAGAGAGAGGATCGAACAAACTGATCACACCAGCCCCGGGGACATAAGATACATAGTAGCAGAACAAAAGGTATGAAAAGCACACAATAGACTAGTGAGCATCAGACATATGACAAAGTTATGGTAATTAGAACAGTAGCAAGGGAGCAGAAGATGGCTACGATAAAATATGTCACGCAATGAGTGCGTTTCCATTTCGTTTCACTATTTCATTTTCTCCTGGGGGGCAGGGGATGGAAGCTGGGGCAGACAAACTGTGCAGCGTGACAGATGCCACCGGCCCATGTGTGACTTCGATGAGGAGATGCCACAGGCTGGGCAGAGGGACTGAGACCACCCTAAGTGGGAAGAGGAATAAACCGTGCTCCAGGAGGAGCGGGGGTTTCAGGGTCTCGAAGACCTCCCTGCAAGGCCAGTGGGAGTTCAGCAGGGCGTTGGGGATGGAGAAGAGCAAGCAGAAGTCGCCGATCTCTTGGGGGATGCGGGGCGGAGACCCTCAGAGACCAGGGCAAGGAGCCAAGGGCTGTTCACAGATCCAGAAGTTCTGTGCGGTACACGTGTTGTCATTCCAGGTGTTCTCGTGCAGCTCCACACAGTCCTCATCTCCGCTGTTGTTGGGTTCCCCCTCTTTCCAGAAGCTGTGAACACACACAGAGAAAGAGAGAGACGGAGACAGAGACCCAGAGACAGAGAGAGACAGAGAGAGGGTCGTGAGCGCACATCCCGTGAAAGGCCGTACAAACCCACCCTGGGATGAGTGGTCCCCGGGCTTCCTTGGTGAACGTCCATAAATCAGCCAAATGGTGCTCAAAGCTTCAGGGCAGCGTTTTTCAAAATGAGGTTCAGAATTCACCACCACAAGAGTCAGCACCACCCAAGTAAGCGCAGATTCTGGGGGCAGTAGGTGGAGCTGTGAGATCAGAAGGCCCCTGGGGAGGGCGGGACTCTGCGTTTCGGAAGTTCCGAGGCTGATTTCCCATAAGCAGGCCCCGGACGCGGTGCGGTCCTTCCCTGGCTCCTCGCTGGGCCCTGTCCCCGGGGAAGCCTCACCTGAGCTGCAGCGGGGTGTGGTCCACCCAGCGCCAGGAGCCCTCTCTCTTCTGGTCACTGAGGCCGATCCAGGTGAGCTGATTTCTCCTGATATTCCAGTATCTCAGGAACCTCTGGGTGACAGGGGGCAGCAAGAGGAAGGCACCTGTCCCTGGCTGCCTGGGTCCCCACAGCGCGCTGCCCCACCACACCACTGCCTTCTGCAATCTAGCCAGGACCCCCCGGGCAAGATGCAAGCGCTGGCAGGATTGTGTACGCTGTGGATGTGCACTCATGCTCACAGGTGCGAGCAAATGTATACACTTGTGCCTCGGTTCACAGCTGTGCCCAGGGAGGGATTGTGTCAGGGAGGGGCTCTCAGAAGCACTGAGTTCCTCCCGTCAAAATGCACCTCTCGTCCGTGTTCTCTCCTCACCAGGCTTCCCTAAGCTCATTCTGATTCCTCCTCCAGGAAGCTCCCCGGCTGCCTCTCCCCCGAGCCCTCACTAGCTGCACACCTGGATTACAGAGAAAGGGGGCTGAACGCCTTTTGTAGCCTCGTTGCATGGCCATCCCCAGGAGCGAGCTTTGCGTGGCTCACCTGCTCTTCAATGCTATTGATGATCACCAGGTGGGCCCCCATATCCTGGCAGGAGGAGACAGAAGATTCCCAGGTGCCCAGGGTCCTAGAGAAGAGGTAGCAGTTTCCCTGGAAGGGCTCCCAGTTCCAGGGGCAAGGACGGCACAGGCGAGCTGGGCAGGAGGGGTGTGGTCAGGACAGGGCCCAGTCCCTACCCACGATGTTGGGATCCCAGGCCTGGGCCCTTGGTCAGATGTCGGCTCAAATCCCAAGAAGCCCAGGAGAAAGATCCCAGCTTCACTTCTCAGTTTGGAGGCCACAGAAGGTGGGTCACAGCCTCTGCTAGGACCCCAGCTCCTTCCCAACCCAGGGGTCAGCCCCTTACCCAGGGAGGTGTTGATCTGACTGAGCTGCTGGTAGATCTGCTCCAAGCCTGAGAGCACCTGGTCCTGAGAAGCAGCAACTAGAAGATGAGGATTTCAATCATTAAGCACTTACAGTGTGCAGCAGGCAGAGAAGACCCCATGAGAACATTATTTCTGGATCTCACAGTGACCCAAGAGCCCATTTTACAGAACAGAACACTGAGGTTCATGCAGCCTTGCCCAGCACTACCAGTGCCTGCCTTCTTCCTGCCACACACGCATCACCCATGGACTGCCCTCATCACGCAGCCTCAAAGCCAGCCCCTCCCAGGCAGGACCTCCTCGCCCAGGGCCTCACCCAAGCTGGAGTTTTCCTGATGGTCCTGAGCCTCTACCTGGGGAGACTTGGGGATCCTAGAAACTGCAAGAGAGAAAACCAGGTGCTTGAGTTTGTGCACTGACTGAACGAAGAACCCCGTGCCACATCAAGCTCCAAGATGTCCAGGTTCTGAGCCCCACAAGGGAGGAGGATGAGTTCATTTCATGGATGGAGTCACAGGCGGGGGAGGGGGACCTTCCCAGGCCACTCAGGAAGGAATGTGCAGCTCAGCCTGCTGGGTCTGAGGTCAGGGCAAGGATCATCCCAGCCACAAAGCCCAGCGGCGTGGCCGAAGCTCCGTGGTTGAGGACTTGCCTAGCATGGGCAAAGCCCTGAGGCTGACCCCTATAGCCCGCCCCCATAGCAGAGGGAAGGTGGAAAGGGACATACGTGGGCTTCTAGCAGGCGACCCCCTCTCTTGACTTACCTTGAACCAAGGTTGTCACCAACAGCAGGAAGCAGATGGCCAGAGACAGGCTGAGCAGCAGCAGCAGAGGCCAGCGGCCCCAGGACCCTGCAGGGCCGGGAGACAGGCAGAGCTGGGGCTCGGGCACAGAGCTTGGCCCTCTCTCCCGTGCTGGCCAGGACCCTTAGCAGCCCCGACCACAAGCCGTGCACACCGTACCTGGCAAGCACTTTGGCCGGTAAGTGGACACCACAGGGTCTTTCTTGGCGAATCTCTGTCCTCCAAAAGTGTCCTCCTCTGAATGGGCAGAACACGCGGAGCTGTGGACACTCAGCCCCTTCCCCAGCCCCAGCATGGAGACCGGATGCAGCCTCCCTGGACGGGACCCTGCCCTCCCCAGCAGCAGCCAGCGCGTGCCCAGCCTTACCAGGGCCACCTGGCACCTTCGGCTCACACTCTCCTGCCATCTCCTGCGTCTCTCCTCTCTCCTCTCTGCCTCTGGCCTGGGCTGCAGCTTTTATGAGCCCATGCTTTGCCGTCTGCAGGAAACCCCCCTCCCCAAGCCGTTTCTCCCTGACTCAGGAAGAACAAGGGGCACCAACTCCACCCAAAAGGCGGGGGTCGTTCAAGGGCCGGATGCAGCTGGGCAAGGGTTTCAGGGTGGAGCAGGAGCTTGCTGCCAACTCTGGGTGCAAGGGCACTGCTTCAACCCACACCCAGTGTGGGCCTTTGAGCCTGTCTTATGCCGCCATCACCTCAAGGTTAGCTCAGTGCCCCAGCAATCACTACAAATCACCTACCCTGTGATATCCTCAGCAGCGACAGCCTGTAAGATTCAGACGTTCTCCACGGCCCACAGGACACCACGACCTACTTATTGCTAGGACAGAGTAACTCCTGACCTCCAGGTGCTCACGGCCAGCCTTGCCTGGCCATCCCAGGTGACCAGAGTGACTCAAGCTTTTCTGTCTCTCCCAGGTGAGGGGCGCTGCTTATCCTAAGGGTCCCAGCTAGGTGGTGCTCTTCATCCGTGGACATGAGCATCCACCCTAGAGGAGGAGGCTCTGTAACCATGCTTGGCCATGACAACAGTGGCACCTTCTACATGGTGTCTCAACACAGACCCAGGGACTGTCCCAGCCAGAGTCGGAGCCAAGCATCCCCCTGTCCTGGCTGATAGGACCCACCTCTCTGTCATAGTCTGCTTGGGCTGCTGTCACAGGCTGCCACGGATTGGGTGGCTTATCAATGACGGATCTTTCACACAGCCCTGGAGCAGATTTTGTGACTTCTGAGGGCTCCTTTCATGCTGCACAGAAGGCTTTTGCTGCATCTTTGCATGCTCAAGAAAGCTCTCCGAGGTCTTTTCATGACTGCAGTGACCTCAGGAATGAGGGTTCTGTCCTCCTGACCGAATCCCCTACCGAAAGGCCCAGCCCTCACATCATCGCGTGGGTTAGGAGTTCAGCGCTGGAATTATCCACAGACACAAGCATTCCCTCTACAGCACTTTTCTCTATGGGCATATTTTAAGCCTCAGTTTTATGTTCCTGCTTCCGGGATAAGACTTACGCCGAGCATGGGTTATCTCCTGTGCTTGACAGCATCCGATCTCCAACTCCCGAAAGCACCTGGCCTAAGCCCCAATTTTGTAACGTCCTTCCAAATGCCTCCTTCTGAAGTGCCCCATGGTTTCCTGCGGTTCTCGCTCTCGCCCTGTGATGAATCGCAGGCTGGCATCCGTGCACCACAGGTGCGATGTTGGTGGTTTTTGACTGAGGGGGGCATGGGGTAATCACGGTCTTTACAATAACCCACGTGAACTATTCAGTCACTCTTCTGCTCTACAGCTGGAGAAACTGAGGAGCAGAGACATCCTACACCGGTCCCACTGCGTGCAGGTGGCGGGGCTGGTCTGGAACAGGAAGTGTTCCCCGAGTCCAGTCAGCCAGCACGAAGTAGACACCGGAGTGTGGGTTTGAGGAAAACGGGAATGTATGTGGAAACAGCAAGAAACAGCAGTGTTGAGAGTGGACTTTGAGCCGCAGTCCAGAATCCTCATTTCCTTCTACAGGAGTCTCTTCTTCCTGTGTTAAAATACAGGAAACAAAACGTTTTCTACTTTGATCACTGAAAATATACCATTCAGTGGCTGTCATGCACCCCCAAAGGAAACCTGTTATCTACTAAGCCGGTGCTGTTGAGCCTTCTAGAGACCGAGTGCCTGAACCACCACCCCAGACCCACTTATTTATCACAAAGTGCCCACAACGGCCCCGTGTGTGCTGTTACCCGATGCTCGGCTGCTGGGGTGCTGGGGAGCTTGGCTCAGGTGCCCACAGAGAGCGCTCTGTGTGCCCACTGTGGCACACATGCCATAGGTTCACCCCCCCACACTAAGCATTCGCTCCCCGTTACTGCCTCTTCCCAAGCACCAGCAAACAAATCTGCTTTCGTCCTCTGCAGATCTGACCGTTCTCAGCATTTCACAGCTATGCATCACACAACAAGCCGCTGTGTGTGTCTGGCTTCTTTCCCCGAGCATCCCACCTTCACAGCTCATCCGCACATGTATATGTCGGTTCTTTATTCCTTTCAAGAGCTGCACATGTGGCTTTGCCAGATACAGAGCTCTTGGCTGACAGCGTTTTCCCAGCGTTTTGGCTGTGCTGTCCCGCTGTCTTCTAGTGAGCTGGTGTCTGTGAAAAAATCCGCTGTTCATGTTTGAGGGTCCTCTGTATATGGAGAGCAGCTTCCTCTGCTGCTTTCAGGGTTCTCTCTTTGTCTTTGCTCGTTATCATGACGTCTGTAGGTGTGAATCTCCCTGTGTGGGTCCTACGTGGAGTTGTCTGAGCTCTGCCCGTGTAGACGCATGTCTCATCACATTTGCGAGGTGTTCGGCCACTGCTTAGAATACTCTTTCTACTCCCTCCTCTTCCTCTTCTCCCTCCAACGCTACCACTGTGGATATTGACATTCTTGATAGGCACACACCATCTTGTGAGGCTCTGCTTATTTTTCTTCATTGCTTTTCTTTCTGTCCTTCAGGCTGGGTAACCTCCACTGACCTCTGTTCTGATTTGTGCTTCTAATCTTCTGCCTGCTCACGTCTGCTATGCGATAGCACAGTATGGAAGCAAGCCTTGAAGGACAATCCCCCTCGAACCCACCCCTCCTCCCCTGTAGCTATAACTTCTTATTCTGGTACAGATAACATGGGCAACTCTGTCCTGTAAACAGAGCTTATGTTGCCTTGTTCTCACGGGATTCATGAGGCTCTGTCTTCTTTCGAGGCTAAGTTATTAATTCCTTTGTCTTGCTTCCATACCCTTGCTTGCCCCACCCTCCCTGAGTCTCTGAAGACACCCCCCCCCACCAGCCAAATGTATAAAAGTAGAATCTTTCACTTTGTTCTGGTGCTCAGCCATTTTGGACATCAGAAGGTCACGCTGAGCCAATGTGCACCTGAAACCAAATAATTCCTCCTTTTCCCCATTGGTGTCTCTGATCTCATGGATTCTGCAACAGTATTTAACTCAGTTATTGTCGTTTGCAACTTCAGTATTTTTCATGATTCTTTGTAAGAATTCCCATCTATTTGTTGACATTCTCTATTTGGTGAAATGTTTTTCTCATACTTTTCTTTAGTTTTTAGGTAAGATTTCTGTTAGCTCTTTAACATTTTAAAATAGCTGATTTAAAATTTTAGTGCAGTTAAGTCCAATATTTTGGCTCTGTCCGGCCAGTTGCTATGTAATTTTTTTCCTGTGTGTTTCTTTGCTGGTTTCATAATATTTTTTTACCAAAAACTGGACATTTCAAATAGTAAGGTGTAGCAATTTTAGAAATCTAATCCTTTATCCTCTTTAGTTTGTTGCTGCTGTTTGATGTTTGTTATTTGTTTCATGATTTTTACTAAATGAATTCTATGAAGTCTGTATTCAATCAGGTCAAGCCACAGGAGTCTTTACCTAATTCCCTTAGTGATTAGCTAATCATTAAACTGAGATTTCCTTGGATATTTAGTACTCTCTGCTACAGGACTCTGTGTCCTATTGGGGTATACCTTTTTTTACAGGAAAGATTTTTTTGAATTTTAAAATTTATTTTTATTGCTACATGTTTGCAGTACATGTTTACATTCCTTGTGTGGAGTTGGTACCTGTACGTAATGCATCTAATTCCTTTTTTTTTAACCCCCATTTCCTCCTGTCCCTCCCTCCTCCCTCCATCTCTTGGACCCTCCCCATTTGCAAAAGATCCACCCCCTACTTCCCATTGCGTATCTTTTATTTTGCTCCTTATTTATATGTGTGCTTCTTATGTAAGAGAGACCTTCTGAAATTTAAGCTTGTGTGTCTCATTTATTTCACCTAGCATTATGGTACCAGTGTGCATCTGTTCCCCTGCAATGACTCAAGTTTATCTTTCTTTATGGCCGAGTAGTCCTACACTGTGTGTAAATGCCACATTGTCTTTATCCACTCAGCCAGGGAGTTGGCAGCTTAGCCTTCACTTCCTGCTAACGCAGAGTCTCAAAGTCAGCCAGAGATGAGAGCTTAGGGCTCTGTTGGATCTTTCCTACTCATGCATACCTGTGATCCCCAAGAATGTGTCAGAACTTTTCAAAGCTCTTAAGGAGATCTTACTATTTCATTTTTCCTTTTAATATTGTGGGTTAGAGAGGAAATGGAATCAGTGTACCAAAGAGATTCCTACATATCCATGTTTATCAAGACACTGTCGAGAAGAACCAAGATATGGAATCAGCTTAGGTACCTGTCAACAGATGAATGGGTAAAGAAAATGTGCTGTATAGACACAACAGAATATTATTCAGCCATGAAGGAGAATAAAGTCCTGTGTCATTTGCAGCAGAATGGATGGAAGTGGAAGACATTAAGCAAAGTGAAATAAGCCAGACACACAAAGACAAGCACCTCTTGTTCTTTCTCATGTGTGGGAGCTAAAAGACATACCCTTCAAAGTAAAATAGTGATTTCTAGACATCTGGAAGGGTGGGGAGAGTGAGGAAAAAGGGGAGTTGAGTTTGACACACGCTGTATGCACGTGTGAAAATATCACTCTACATCCAGCTAATATGTACGATTCATATGTGTTGATGAATTTTTAAAATACATTTGTGGTTGGGCTGTAATTGGTCCCAACTTCTGTCCATCGTCAGGGAGCTGCAGCATCGAGTCATTCGACAGCGAGCCTGGGAGAATCTTGGAGCACTGAGGAGGGCCTCAGGTGGTGAGATAAAGACCAGCTTTTCAGAGTAGGATTCCTAGGAAGCCAAGTGCAGGATCTATAACGACTCCTTTGGGGGAGTAAAGCTTTGAATGAGTGGCAGCTCTGTTCTCCCTCGTATTTCAAGAATACGGATGTCTATTTTTATTTTTGTGGTGCTAGGGCTAGAACCCAGGGCTCACGCATGTTAGGTAAGTGCTCTGCCGCTGAGCCGTGTCTGGACTGCTCTGGGCTGAGCCACCTCTGGGCTGCTACA